GCTGATTTTTTGATTTATTGTAGAGATGAGGTCTCACTGCCCAGGCGGGTCTCGAACCCGCGGGCTCAGGCAATCCACTCACCTCAGCCTCCCAAAGGCACGGGATTACAGGCTGAGCCACCGAACTCAGCATGAGACAATTTCTACTAATAAATCTTTTTTTCCCTCTCTTTCTATATCTCCTAGATGGCTTATGTTTGCTCTCCTGATGGGTTCTTTGGTGGTACTCTCCTGACTTCTCTGGCACTTTGTACCAGACCGATGTATAGCACTGGGCACATTGTATTTTAAGTAATACTGGCTTCAGGTTCTGTGTTTTCCATTAAATTTAAGAGCTGGTACCATGCCAGATACGTAGTGTCAGTTTATTGTGACAAAGAGTAAAAAAAATGCTTGGTAAATGAGTCAATGTGTTTGTGTATAGTTAGCTATTTGTGTTTGATTGGAGTGAATGTTCCCAGAGCACTGGAGAACTCAGATTCTTTTTTTTTTTCTTGAGTCTATGCACAGCTCCACAGAAAAAACTTTTGAGTGGGCTTTGAAAAACAAACTTATTTGCCAGACAATGAAAGATATTCCTGGCACGACCATGAGCATGGAAGAATGCAGAACCGGGTAACAGCAAATAAAGGACTGTAGACATGGGTATATTAGGAGTGATGAAGATAGAGAGTGCAAATCAGTAAGGGTCTTAGAAATGAAAGTTTTAGCATTAGCAGGTAGATAAGTGCTTTTCAAGTTACCCACGCCCATTAGGAGTGAGTAATTTAGAAGATCCTAGCCAACCCTTTAAAAAACCAAATTAACATTAAGATTGAGGCTGTACTCAGTGGCTCAGTCTGTAATCCCAGCACTTTGGGAGGCCTAGCGAGTCGATTGCCTTGATCTGCGGGTTAGAGACCAGCCCAGGCAACTTGGTGAGACCTCACCTCTACCATAAAATAAAAAATTAGCCAGGCAAGATAGCACACATCTGTAGTTCTGGTCACTTGGAAGGCTGAGGCGGAAGGATTGCCGGAGCCCAAGCCCAGCCAGTCGACGCTGGGATGGCCTTGAGTGTGCCACAGCACTCCAGCCTGGGCAACAGAGTGAGACTCCAAGTCAAAAAATAAATAAATAAATAAATAAAAATAAAGTTTAACATTAAGACTACACCACATAATTGTTGCATCAAACTTTCAGTTATATGTACATAAATATATATGAACGCTCTACACATATATTCGTGTATGTGTTAACTGCAACACAATGCAATAATGTTGTTTTTTTGGGTTTTTTTGAGTCAGAGTGTCACTCTGTCACCCAGGCTGGAGTGCAGTGGAATGGTCACGGCCACCGCAACCATGACTTGCTGGGCTCAGGCGACCATTCCGCCTCAGCCTTCCAAGTAGTTGGAACCACACACATGCACCACCATGCCCAGCTAGTTATTTTATTTACTGTAGAGAGGAGGTCTTGCCATGTTGCTCAGGCTGATCTTAAACCCCTGAGCTCAGGCAATCCTCTCGCCTCCGCCTCCCAAAGTGTTGGGATTACAGATGTGAGCCATCACACCCAGCTGCAATAATATATTTCTTACCACAAGTTAAAAGTTTGAAAGGCACTGCACACTATACACTAGAGAGAGTCCTATGATACAAAGAGATCTATTCTGTGGGTTACCAGTTAGTAGTGGCAAGAATCCATACAAGTTACAAAAGACCGAACGTTAGTCACAACAATAACAGTCAAGAAATGAGCTCCCCATCATATTTCTGTCTCCCACTTCATTTACTCATCCATCCATCCTTTCTACCTTTACTTCATGCCCACTATATGCTATGCAGCAGGAAACTCAAGGACCAAGCAAAGGATTTACTGTTGGTGCTTGTCTCTACAAAGGGTTCCAAAGCACAGGCCCACTTAGTGCTTTGAGTGCTTCCCCTCCTCTTTGGTCTCCAAGTTCTAACTTTCAAGGCTCAAATTCTACCCTCTATCAAAGAGTTATGACGCACAATAACTGTGAACTACAACCCTCCCTTCAAAATCACATTTTTTTCATTTATGTTCTATGTTGCAATATCTTCTCTTTTTTTTTTTTCACATCCCCAAATTGACTCTTAGTTCTTTAAGGACAGAGATTTACTCATAGACCTCTGTGTCCTCCAAAGCACCTGGAACTCTACCTGACACTGTACTCAATTTTCAACACTGCCTCTTATTCAACAGATACTTTAAGTATCTATTTGTATGGCAGACACCTGACAACGGGGTGACACAGTAAACAAAAAATATGGCACCTGTCTTAAGAAGGCTTGTAGCCTAGTAAAGAATGCAGACAGTCAGGCTCAGTGGCTCAGCCTGTAATCCCAGCACTTTGGGAGGCTGAGGTGAGTGGACTGCCTCAGCCTGCGGGTTCGAGACCCGCCTGGGCAACTTGGCGAGATCTCATCTCTACAATAAATCAAAAAATTAGCCGGGCATGGTAGCACATGCCTGTAGTTCCAGCTACTTGGAAGGCTGAGGTGGAAGGATCACCGGAGCCCAGCAGTTCGAAGCTGAAGTGGCTGGGAGCAGCCACTGCACTCGAATCTGGGTGACAGAGTGAGACTCCAACTCAAAAAAAAAAAAAGAATGCAGACACCAAGCAAACAAAAACTAAGTATGAAGAGTTACAAAAGCAAGACAGGCAGTTCTCCTGGGCTGTTATAACAGGAGCATGATAAATACGTATTATCATAAACATTTTTATGGAAAAAGTTGTAAATACAACATGCCGTCTTTTAATAAAAACAAAAGGCATAATGTTAAAATCCACAGAAGGTACAGTATGAAAACGCAATTCCGTAACAACTCTTCAAGTTGCCAGACAGAACTACAGTTGGCCCTTGTACCTGCAGGTTCCACATTTATGGATTCAGCCAACTGAGGACTAAAAATATTTGGGAGGAAAAATAATACAACTAAATACAATTTAAAAAATACAACTAAAAAAATACAAATAAAAAACAATACAGTGTAATTCTAGACATAACATTTACACTGATTAGGTATTATAAGTAACCTAGAAGTGATTTAAAGTGTACAAGAGAACACATATAGGTTATGTGCAAATACTACACCATTTATACCAGGGACATGAGCATCTAGGATCCTCAGGGGTCCTTGAAACAATTACCTGTTGATACAAAGGGCCAACCGTACCATCTTCCACACCCCTGTGCATACAGGCTCAATTGTGTTCTCCCAAAATTCCTGTGTTTAAGTACTAACTCCCAGTACCTCAGAATATAATTGTTTTTTGGAAATAAGATTTTTAAAGAGATAATTAAGCAAAATGAGGCCCTACTTAGGGTGGGCACTAATGCAATATGATCTATGTCCCAGCAAGAAATGTGGCTACAGACATGTGTATACAGAGGACCTTGAAGACAGAGAGAGCAGCCATCCACAAGCCAAGCAGAGAGGCCTCAGAAGACATCAACCCTGCCAATGGATTTCTAGCCTCCAGAACTGTGAGAAAATTTGTTTAAGCCTCCCAGTCCATGGTTCTGTATGGCAGGCCAATGAACTAACATAGCTTCATTTAAAAATGGAGGACAAGCTATTTGGGGAATATGAAGTGGTTCACATCGAGGTAAGTACAGGAAGGGTTAGGGAAGGAAATTCTTTACAGGGAAGTCTCTTTAAAAGACTCTTAAGGCCAGGCACAGTGGCTCACACCTGTAATCCCGGCACTTTGGAAGACAGAGGTGAGAGGACTGCCTGAGCCTAGGAGCTGGAGACCAGCCTGGGCAACATGGCACCACCTCATCTCTACAATATATCAAAAAGTTAGTCACTATGGTAGCGTGAGTCTATAGTCCCAGATACTTGGAAGGCTGATGCAGAAGGACCACCTGAGCCATCAGGTCAAAACTGTGGTGACGGTGATAATGCCACCGCACTCCAGTTTGGGTGACAGAAGACTTTGACTCAAAGAAAAATAACATAAACAACACTTAGCGACTTATAAACACAAAGCAAAAAAACAAACATACATACCTTATAGAAAGCCGCAACCCCCAAGGATACAGCGAATGCTCCAACAATATGAAACCGCAGGCGTTTGGCCAGAAGGCCACGCATCTGAGGTTTCGTCAAAGCACCGGAACTCATGGTATTGTCTTTGACAGGTGTGTCAACCTTAAGTAATGAGATTCAGAAAATATGATTAAGCACAGAGTTTACTTGAGCCCAAAACTTGAGGCTGGCTACCTGGGAGCATGGATTCAAGTTGCCTAAATATACACTCCCAATTAGCAGCAGTTACAAGTGGGATTTTAAGAAATTCCTAACTTGCTTACCAAGAATTTACATTAAAACAACATAAGCCACTGATTGGCTATAATTGGCCTTTGGATCCAGCAAGTTCAGTAGCAAGATCAAGGGTGAAGACAACTGAGCTCCCCAGCATGGGAGGAGCTGACTTTAAATCCCACATTCAAGTCTCTCCGGACTTGATAAATTTTACATACCCTACAAAGCTCAGATTGTTCTGAGCTATTTTTTGTTTCTGGGGTGAAATAATAAGAATTTAGAATAAGATGTCTAAGGAGCTCGTGCACAATTCTTTTCCCCTCTCGTATGCTGAACCTAAATAAACACGACTAATAACGGCACAACAGCAGTAATCAGTCAACGAAAACTACAAACAAAAATATCTCAAGTAGCGGAAAGATAAGCAGTGGTTCTATACAGGTAATTACAAGTATAAGCCCATTTATGGCATTTATGCTTCTAAAAACAATTAACTCATTAAGAGTCTCCAACAGCCTTGCCAGATAGCGGGGTACGTGTTTTCCGTGGCCACACGGCACACATTAAAACTCGCACGCGAACCCAGCTGCTGCCTCGAGGGCCCACGCCAAGTAACAGCGTCTCCGTCCGACCTCACCAGGGGGCATAAAGACCACCGCGCGCGGGGCCGTCCCCGCAAAGCTTCGGCTGACGCAGTCGGGAGGTTAGGGTGGGCTGGCCGTAGGCGCGAGGGAGGCTAAGGGAAGCCCACCCTTTCCCTTCTGAGACAGGCACGCCGACCCTCTAGGTCTTCAAGTCGAATCTCGAGCGCTGTCCCACACCGAGCGACGTGGCAGGCTGCTTCACCTACGCCGACTCTTACGGGTCCTCACCCGGTAAAGAAAAACCCACCGCCCCCTTCTTAAGGGTGAAATACTGAGGCCGCAGAGGTCAGATGACCTCGCCAAGGTCACACAGACCGGGTAAAAGCGCAGCGGGAACCCGGCCCTGGCTGGCCGACTCCGAAGCCCATAGGCTCCCAGAGCACTACCCGCCCGCCCCCGCAGCCAACTCGGCTCCCCCGAGGCCGCCACGACCCACCCGACCCCAGTGGCCCTCCCGCCGCCCTAAAGCGGCAGCGGGGGCGGGCGGGGGTCGATGCAGGCGAGGCCCAGAGCGCCACCAAAGCTCAGTGCAAAGTCACGACTCAACTCGGAGGCAGGCAAGCAGGCAGGCAGCAGGCGGGAGGCGGCAATTCTGGGGACTCGAATGGGGGCCGCAAAAACGACCCGGACTCACCTCAACACCAACGTCCTTCCTGAATGATGGAGGATGGCGGGCGCTCTGGCGGCGCGCAGGCGCGGAATACGAGTGAGCGGAGAGGACCGGCGACGGTAGCTGAGAGAGTTCAAAAAGCCCGTGGCGCACCCACCGCGGTTCGCAGCCGGTGCACCTTCGTGAAGGGCTTCTTCGCGGCGTGACCTTGGAAAAAGAGGCTTGACCTCCAGAAACGTTTTCCTTAGTAAATTGACGATATTCATCTTTAGTCACACAGAGTTGTTATGACTGTATCACAGAATTCAAAGACATTTGATATGTAAAAAATAATAATAATAATGTGTGGACTCTACAAGTGCAGCGCAAATCAACCTGGGCCAAAGGATTCCACAAACCTACCATTTTCATTATAACTACGCCTACGGGAATGAGCACTTGGTTTGGGTAAAGAGTGAAGAAGACAGCTGACTTGTAGGAGCTCAGAGCCCAGCAGATGCGACAGACATAAACAGATCAATTCCAATCCCAAGCAGTGCCTCAGAGACGTGACCCAACTACTGCAGAAGCAATTATCTACCTTGCAAAGCCGAGCAAGTTTTGGTGGAAGGGGCAGTATTTGTGTGGGGTTCTTAACAAAAGACAAGAGTTTTGAAGGAAGGCAAATGGAAGTTCGTGGGAAGTCGTGTAAAGGGTAAGGTTCTTGTGCCTTAATGGTACTGGGCTTGGTTTTTATTTAAATAACCTGGGTTTGCAAAGCATGATTTAAGCCAACTTGTCAAGACAGCTGGGACACAAAAGATGCACAATAGTAAGCATATATTGATTGAGCACCTGCTATGTGCCAGATTCTGCTATACAAGAGGACATCTTAAAGAAGGTGCATTCTTGTCAGGGGGTCTTTGTCCTCAACTTGTTAACAAACACTGGGGAGTGAAACCTTTCAGCAACACAGAAAGTTGCTCATTGAACATCAGAAACTGGTTTGGACCTCAGTAAACCTTTTTTCAGGACTCTTTCAAGACTCTTACCCAGTTGAAAATCTTTACATGGGATTTATCCAAGTGGTAATTTGTTCCTGCTCCCTTTCTATTCACACACTCACCATTGGCCCAGAGAACAAGCAGTATATTTCAAAGTTCACAGAGATAACTGTATGTTGAAACATCAGGGAAAGCTTCAGGGAAGACTTGGAAGAGAAGGAAGCAGAGCTGAGTCTCGGGCTAACAGAGAGGCTGGAAAAGTGGAGAAATCGGAAAGACAACATTGGTTGGAAGAATATGACAAAGATGACACACTCTGGGCACAGCACCTGGCCTGAATGGAGTACTATATAGTTGTTTAGGGACACAGATATCTACAGAAGCACAGGACCAATCACAATAATACATGGTGAATGACTGAGGGTGACACATGAATAGAACCTGAGTGATAGGGGTAAGGAGAGAGATCGTATATGTAGGTTCTGTTCCAGAGCCTAGCAGACTGAATTTGAGTCCTGGCTCACCACCTTCTTCTAGCTGGCAAGTTTCTGGCTTTTGAGTCACAGTCTCACTCCGTCACCCAGGCTGGAGCGTAGTGGCACAATCACAGCTCACTGCAGCTTCAACCTCTTGAGCTTAGGCGATCCTTCCACCTCAGCTTCCCAAGTAACTGGTACTTCAGGCAATACCACCACACCTGGCTAAATTAAAAAAAAAAAAATTTAGAGTCGAGGGCTTACTGTCTTACCTAGACTGGTCTCAAACTTCTGGGCTCAAGCAATCCTTTCACTTCGGCCTGCCAAAGTGCTGGAATAACAGGCATGAGCCACCACACCCAGCCCAAATTTCTTAACCTTTCTAAATCTGCTTTCTCTGAAAAACAATGGCACCCATTTGTTGAGTTGTGGTGCAAATTAAATGGGATAAGGTATGAACAGGTTGAGTATCCCTTATCCAAAATGTCTGTGACCAGAAGTGTTTCAGATTCTGGATTTTTTCAGATTTTGGAATATTGCAGAGTAGATGGCGTTTGAGCATCCCTAATCCAAAAATCTGAAATCCATACTGCTCCAACGAGCATTTCCTTGAGTGTCACATGGATGCTCAAAACGTTTTAGATTTTGAACCATTTCAGATTTCTGATTTTCAGATTAGGGAGGCTTAACCTGCTTGACACACAGACATTCTGAATGTGCATTCCTCCCTCTGTCCTTTTGTCTGCCCTGCATTCCTTCTATCCTTCCATCCTTAGCAGTGCCTAATTGTCTTTTCAGGAATCATACCTTCCCCACTTTCAGCCATGTGGCTCTAGAAGGGTCAAACTTTATCCCAGTTGGGTATACAACCCAAGAGTAGCCAAACAATGTAGCCCATCCCCTTGGCCACAGTAATTTGTTGCAGATGGGCACAGGAGCCTGGTGAGGCCAATGAAATTCAATTCTAGAACTTTTATTGAATCTATTGGGGGAAAAGTTTCTCTTTTTAGGAGGAGAGGGGTTTGTAGTAGGTTAGAGAAGAGGTCTTGCATCGGCCACGGTGGCTCAAGCCTGTAATCCCAGCACTTTGGGAGGCCGAGGCAAGAGGATTGCCTGAGCCCAGGGGTTTGAGACCAGTATGGGCAACTTGGTGAGACCTCATCTCTACAATAAATAGCCGAGTTTGGTAGCGTGCACCTGTAGTCCCAGCTACTTGGAAGGCTAAGGCAGAAGGATCGCCTGAGCCCAGGAGGTCAAGGCTGTGGTGGCCGTGAGTGTGCCACTGCACTCCAGCCTGGGCAACAATGAGACTCCAACTCAAAAAGAAAAGAAAAGAGAAGAATTCTTGCAGATGTGTAAGAGTATAAGGGCAGAGAGTACTGTTTCCCCATAATGTGGCAAGCACAGTTCTAGTGAACAAATGACATAAAGAGCCTGCCTTCATGAAGCTCACATTCCAGTGGGCTTGGAGGAAAAGACCAACAATAAACAAAAAATGTATCTGATGGAGATAAGTTCAATGGGAAAAACAGAGTAGAGTATAGGTAAACAAAGTTTGCATGAGTTTTGTTTTGTTTTGTTTTAGTTGGAGGCTCTCTTTGTCGCCCAAGCTGGAGTGCAGTGGCATGAGCCATAGCCTTGACCTGATGACTCAGGCAATCCCTCCACTTCAGCCGCCTGAGTAGCTGGGTCTACAGATGTGTGCCATCACACTCAGCTAATTTTTTTTTTATTTATTGTAGAGAGGAGGTCTGGCCAAGTTATCCAGACTGGTCTTAAACCCCTGGGAGATTGGCAGTAGTGGGAAACTATGAGGGGAGGAGGGGTAGGATTGGCAATTGAGGGACACACACCTCATCAACAAGGGTACCTGCATAATCAACGTTTGTATACCTAATCCTGGATTGTACCCCACATCTTTATAATAATAATAATAAAAACCCTGGGATCATGCTCTCGCCTCCACCTCCCAAAGTTCTGGGATTCCAAGCGTAATTTTTATGTTGAAAGACTGATGAAGACTTCTGGAAACTGACTTGAGCCTATGGTCTACACTAGAGTAAAAGATATCTCTGTGGAAGGACTGGACTTATTCTGTAGAGCCCTAAGGAATAAAGTAGGATGAATGGGTGGAAGATAGTGGGAGTTAGAGTTCAGTTGAGTATTCATAGTGGCTAGAAATAAGTTTTTCTTTCTTCCTTTCTTCCTTCCTTCCTTTTTTTTTTTCTTTTGAGTTGGAGTCTTACTGTATCACCCAGGCAGTTGTGCAGTGACATGCTCATGGTCACCGCAGCAACAACCTGCTGGGTTCAGGCGATCCTTCCACCTCAGCCTTCCAAGTAGCTGGGACTACAGGTGCACGCCACCATGCCCGGCTAAATTTTGATTTATTGTAGAGACAAGGTCTCACATCTTGCCCAGATTGGTCTCAAACCTGTGGGCTCAGGCAGTCCTCTCACCTCTGCCTCCCAAAGTGCTGAGTTTACAGGTGTGAGCCACCTTACCCACCTAAAAATAAGTTTCTTTCAAGGGGATCCTCAGCCAGAGACACATCCAGTTGGGGGAGACAAGGATTCCTTAATTGGTGAAAAGGCAAAGCAACAGTCGTGCTTCCACTGATTCTTTTCATTCTGGCCTTATATCACCAGGTCAACATATTACCTAAAAAATTGTTGAAAAGATGCCACTTTTTGAATATAGACTTAGAAGAAACTTTTTTGCGTGGCAAGAGTAATGCCATCTTGAAGCAAAATCATGATGACTGTTTCTTGTTTTTTGTTGTTTTTTCTTTTTGAGTCAGAGTCTCACTCTGTTGCCCATACTGGAGTGCCGTGGCACAATCATGACTGCTGCAGCCTCAACTTGCTGGGCTCAGGTGATCCTTCCGCCTCAGCCCTCCAAGTAGCTGGAACTACAGGTGCGTGCCACTCTGCTCAGCTAATTTTTTGATCTATGGTAGAGACAAGGTCTTGACATATTCCTTAGGCTGGCTGCAGACTCCTGAGCTCAGACAACCCTCTTGCCTTGGCCTCTCAAAGTACTAGGATTACAGATGTGAGCCATCATGTCTGGTGGATAACTGATGTTTGACTCCTGTATACCAAGGTTTTCCCATGATACAGATAACTCTTCATAAAGAAACAATGCCCATAGCATAAGTAAATCTTTATAAAGATGTTTATCTAACCTTTCTAGTAGTCATGAGTTTTGCAAGAACGTTTGAGGCATGAGCAGTTGCACACATTTTGGGGGTTTTTTTTGGTAGGCCAGGCACAGCCTGTAATCGCAGTATTCAAGGAGGCCAAGGAAAGAGGATCACGTTAAGACAGGAGTTTGAGACCAATCCAGGCAATATAGCAAGACTCCATCTCCGCAAACGAACAATCCACTTGTTATATGAAGCATATCTTCTGGAAGGCACCTGTGAGGACAGCTGACAATGAAGCTGTCCTTACAGCATTAACAAAAATTGTGGACAGAAATATAGTTATAATTAAGCATTGATTAGGCTGCACTTTGACCCTCTTCCTTGTAACGAAAGTCATATACTGACTGCATCCCCATTGTTCCTGTGTATAGACTCATAAGGCTTTTGTTTACAGATAGAATCTCTGACATTAGAATCATGG